TGACTTTCACAATTGAGTGAGGATATGAGTTATAGTAAAAAGAACAATGTGACTGTCAGTTATTCTTCCACAACCCATCTAGTCTTCACATATGCCGGTTTTCATTACTTTGATGCTCAAAACACGTTGAATGATTTCTTCAGATAAACAGTATTCGTGGATGATTTACTAACTGAATTCATTTTGTATTTCAGTTGTGCATCGAGTTAATGGAGAGATTTTTAAGAAATACGAGTGGGTTGAAGAATTGGATACGGAATCCTGTAAGATAAAACATTTGAAGATTTTGACTGAGTAACTGTGTCATATCCACATGTAATTCACTGAATAATGGTTATCCACAAACTGTGGTACTATGTAAAATGTCTGCGAAATTTTCAACCTGATGGTTTATTGAATGAACGTAATCAAAATGACACGGATGCTACAAATAAAATCAAATGGTTTTTGGTCCTAATCCGAATTCAAACATTCTTGCAGAACGCAACCACCATATTTGTGATAGTTCTCCATTCAAATATCAAAGTTGAGATAGTGAGGTTGCGTTTTACGTTGCAGACCGATTCGATAGAACAAACTTGACTAACCGACAAACAAAACGCAAGTGTTCATCCAACACATCACTTTCACTTGAACATTGTTGAATTAGTAAAATATATGGAGCAATTGAGTCTTCTGATCAATGATGAGACAGATATTGAAGTAAATGAAATACTCAGTCATATGTTGGTTTATTACATTTTTCCACATTTCAGTTAAGTATTTATATCTATCGGAAGTTTTAAAAGTAATAAGTAAGTAACCTATTGAATCGAATTTACTGACAATATTATGTGAAATACTATTTAACGGTGAAGTGGTGTATGAAGACGAAATATTGTATGTTTGGATAATGGAAGTAGGCAAAATAGCGTAACGAACTATTACAGGACGGTTCATTAGATTCAATGATGCACAATTGATGTTCAATTAAAATATCAATTCAAATGGATGCTTGAGATACAGTCCATTAATGTGTAGATCTCAATAAAATTTTACGATCGCGGTTGACACCCGACCACATGCTGATTTTCTGATCCATTACTCTAGTCAGATCTACATAATGTTTGATCGAGTGAATGCAAACATGCTGGTCAAGATCCATTAAACAGTTTTACTTTAGTCCAGTCGTTCATTTCGTATATACACATGTGTGATTTATCATATTACTAATCATCCATATGATTCTGTTTGAATTGCAGGTGACGATGAAAACTAAATGAATTTGAATTTGCGAATGATGAACTGGACTTAATTCATTTCTCATCTACCCATATTGTTGTAATAACTAATTAACTGTCAAAATAACCAATCACAAATTTCTTCTTTCATTAACAATATTCACCTCTAATAATATTCAACTCCTATTTGTTTATGTTCAAAACATTGATGCAGTAAAAGATTGTAATGTTTGAAATTGAATATCTATAAATTGGTGTTTGAGTTTTAACATTGTTTACCCACAATAAGAAATGGGCTAGTGGTTGACGGAAATGAGAATAGTATGAGGGATATAGTGAATAAAACAGTTAGACGACATTCACTCTTCAAAATGATAACTGATTACCGTGAATCACGATGTTAACTGCAATCTACTCATATCATTCAACATTCTGGAACTAACTTCTCAAACCCGAGTTCATGTATAAATATGAACTAACCAGTATCACTTCACTATGGGTATCTCAAAATTATTCATTTACTACAACTTAAACAAATCATCAACCAATTAGAACATTAGATATTGACTCAAACACTGTGTTGCTCACCTTAAATGATTAACACCTCATCCAATACTATTTTCGAGGGGTTAGGATATTATGTAGAGCTGGTGTACAAAACAAACGTCAACAACACAACACGGAAACGAGTCGAGCTATCGCCCTGCACAGCGATCCGTCTCACTAGTGAGAGAAGACCGGATTTAGCCGGATAACATTTCTTCTACAAGCAGTTCGGAAGAATGAACGAGCAAGCATTCAACTCACGTGTATATAGGCAATGCAAAAATCTCCTTGAAAAACGTCACGACATAGCACACTATGAGAGAACACGAACCAATTACAACCAAAGTCCTTCCAGATAAGAAACACAAACTGAAGGTAAAAGTCGGCGTTTTAGTCATGAAATAGAAAATGAGAATTTACGCAACTAAATTACAAAAGTGAGAATTTTCCCCATGTAATTTCTTCACATCTAGCATCCTCAACATCCACTGAGCATCTGAGTTCAGTAAGCCATCATTTCGCTCCACCAATCCAGTGTTTATATCACTGTCAGTTATGGTTTCAGTAAACTAGAGACTCAATTTTGACCAGTGTTACTTACCGAACTGACATTCAATGAGCACTGCCACGATATGATGATTGTGTCATAAGTTAATTCGAATTAATGGAACAAGTCACTGGTTAACTGAATTCAGTGACTCAATAGATAACATGTTATATGCTTGAAGTGGATAGCACTAAGTTTGAGTCCCGGTGTGGAAATCAAATGATATAAAAAGAAATAACTGAATTGATAGAAACAACAGTGACTGCTGTGACTTTGAACAACTTACTATACCACTGATATGAACAAACGGAGCCGAATAAGACATTTTTCTGACTATGACACTTTCATGCTATTTCTGAGTTTGTATTATGTAAGAAGATATCGACAGTTTCTCTGAATAGCCTCTAATAACCAATAAGATTATATAAATCAGTTGAATAATCAATGATCTCTACAAAATTTCAAAGAAATATGGATAGTCATTGATCATATCTTTCTTCATCTTGATTGAAATATTCGCAGATTCGCTACCAATCCTAACATGTTTTCCCAATACTTCCTGAGTTTGCATTATGTAAGAAGATATCGACTGTTTCTCTGAATAGCCTCTAATAACCAATAAGATGATATAAATCAGTTGAATAATCAATGATCTCTACAAAATTTCAAAGAAATATGGATAGTCATTGATCATATCTTTCTTCATCTTGATTGAACTATTCGCGGATTCGTTACCAATCCTAACATGTTTTCCGAATACTTCTAAAACATCATTGTGAAATATAGCTCTGAGGACTAGTCAGTAGTTAAGTAGCTTAAGCATAAATCCTATCAAACTCCATAATCGAGTAATATTACAATTTATTAGTCTGTATCTCGTTGATGATGATAATGTCCCTGTAAATGTCCCTGTAAATTATAATTTTAAGGTGAATGAAGAAATACGGACCCTCATAAATTGATTAACAACATCTTCGATTGTATTGAATCTCCATGAGAACAGGAATCAAAAAGTACTTCCATCATTGTATGCTTTATTCAAATGAACAAATACATAAACTTTGGTCAAACAAGTATAGAAAAGGTCAAGTCTTCAAGATAAGATTTCAAATTACAATGGTAACAAATCAACAGAACACAGGAGCAGATGTGTCAAGATGATGTTCAAAAGAGATAAAAACCATTACAGAACTCTCACTACATGAGAAATTGAAGAAACACATAATTAGTTTGCCTTCCTTAAAAGTGGCCACCTCGTTAACGTCGTTAAAATGTCTCTGTGTAATTGACCCAGCATCTAAAACTAATCTCAGAATTCAAGAAACGGTTACTACCACTATTATATGACATACATCAAGAGATCATAAAACCTTTTGAAATTACAATCACTCATAAATCAACACAACATTATCTGGTTTTATACAGATCAAAAGATACAAATGTAAAAAATGATAAACTTGACATTATCTACAACCTAAAGTGAATTAACTGAGAGAAGCATTAAATTGCACAATATCAGTACCCACCTATACTTCTTCCACTAATATCATATTATAGTGTTCTGAAGAAAATAAAATCTGAGTGCAATCTTTATTGAGACGCCATAATACTTACTTAAGATATAGATCAAAATCTAGTTGATTAGTTTAGAAAATAGAATGAAGCACATGAAAATTACATTTCAATTTGTTAATCACCAACTCCAAGATCAGAATTTTCAACATAAATGTCAAGACAGTTCTACTGTATGGGGCGGAGACGTGGAGAACTACGAAAGCCATTATCCAGAAGATACAGGTGTTTATCAACAGTTTTCTACGCAAGATACTTCGCATCCGATGGCCAGACACTATCAGCAACAAGTTACTGTGGAAGAGAACAAACCAGATTTCAGCGGAGGAAGAAATCAGGAAGAACCATTGGAAGTGGATAGGACACACATTGAGGAAATCACCCGATTGCGTCACGAGACAAGCACTCACATAGAATCCTGAAGGCCAAAGGAGAAGAGGAAGATTAAAAAACACATTACGTCGAGAAATAGAGACAGACATGAGAAGAATGAACAATAACTGCATAGAACTAGAAAGAAAGGCCCAGGACAGAGGGGATTGGAGATTGCTGGTCGAGTAACAGGCGTAATTAAGTAAGTAATCACCCACATGAAAAAAGGTTAGTAAATAATCTGAATTACAATAAGATCAAATCTGAAGAAATTCTAATACGGCATTCAAATTATGCTCATAAATGCTAAATATTAATTATCAGAAGGGGTTTTGTGGAGATTTTGTATTTTTCATATTTTCAGTTGACTCATGCTTTCTACTATGTTAAATATTAAGTATATATTGTTCAATACAACTTATTTATCAGAAGGAATTTTGTGGAGATTTCAGTATTTTCATAATTGAAATCATCAGTCAATTGAAGCTAGATCACGAAAGGAAAACCTGGAAGCACTGGATGGCCGTTTCGTCTTATTATGGGACTCCTTAACTTATTTATTATCTACATAATACAAATTGCGCCATATGGTTAAATTACAGCCAATCAAAATTGGATAAGATTTTTATTGGTCAATTTACTTGTCAGCTATTAAAGTAGCCAGTCCAAGGGGTGTTGGCTCAATCTGATTGGATAAAAAAAGTGAAAAAAAGAATTCCTATTTAAGAGAGGTAAATCATATTCAACATTTTAGAAGTCATCACAACTGTTGTGGAATACTAATTCTATTTTCTTAAATCCATGAGACTTTATTATTTAATTTGTTGTTTCATTCAATATTTTATCATTTTAACAATTCACATTGAGGTGATCTGTTCAACAATAGAGTTAAGTCAACAACAGCAACAACAAGATCGTTTGGCAACATTTTCATTAAAATTTTTAGAATTTCATAATCATGCACATCGACGTATTGATGGTAGTTGTTGTGGTCGTCCTAGACAGTCATCTTCATCAACAACTATAAAAGTAGAAACAGAAATATGCAAGGCAGAATGTGCATTGGAATTTCGTATCTGTATTGAACCTTATACAACAATCAGCATATTATCAAATAGTACAAAAATTTATAATGGTCCTTGTATGTATGGTGAAGTATACACTAGTCACTGGGGTAATACAGATATTACATATGGTTTATTAGAAGCTAGTGTACACTCTATTGGAATTATACATCCATGGCCGGTAAGTTAATGACTAGTTTATTGTAATATAAAGTTTTTTTTAATGGATATTATGCAATTACTGGAAGGAATTGCAATGGTATTAAAATAATTCGAGAGCAACTGAAAATTAAAGATTATTGAAAAGAATTATGCAATGATTACTTTACAGTGTTCGAACCCATGTTTACACATAGAGAATGGAATTGAAGATATTTAAGTGATTCGAAAATCACAATAACCTGTATTCAGTAATTGCCTCAAATCACCGTTACAGTAAATTTACAATCTAACAAGCCGATCATTTTATGTCCTTAGTAATGTGTATCACATTTGAAATATGTTTCGACTCTGTCAGTTAAAATTTTAGAAAAAATTCTTCAACCGAAAACCCTTTTGATTGGATTTCCTAATTTTAAAAAAATACTCAGTTGACTGATTAATTTAACTAATCACACATGATGATGCACAGTAACCATATCCGTTTTAGCTTCAAGTTAGTGTTAATGAATGAATAGAAAACTGACAGAACTCAGTGCACGGGAGTAGACGAACACAATAAATGAGTATTTATTATAGACTGAAAGTAAATCAAAACCGTCCGATTCCAATGAACCATTCTCAGTAGCCCTATTTACATAAATGGGGTGAATTACTTAATCCGTAAACATAATTAGCATTATGACAGGATTGAACTGTCACAAATCAACAAATGTAACTAATTCACTAAGCTACATAATTTACTCGTTCTTAACACCTTCTTATTAAGTAGTATTGTATATGAGTAGCTCTTCCACTACTGCTCAACTTGATTTGTTATTCAACTCATTTGTATTTCGCTTCTTAATGTTTGGAATGAATGGAATCAAGTAGAAATTTATGTTCTGGATATTTAAGTCACATTTTTGCATCTGATTTAGTGCTCCAATCATTGACACTCTTGGTTTATACTACAAAGAAGACGGGGAATCTGTTGATTGGGTTATTAACATACATTCATTAAGATTATGAGGACCACATGTCAGTCACTGTCTGTCTTTAACTTACACAAATGACTTGAATAGGAGTTAGTCAGAAGTTAAAGACAATATCAAACCAGACTAGGTAATGATATCGGCAGTTGACAAGGGAAACGACTGCACTAGTCTTTGTACACTGTTGGATAGAAACTTCCTGTGTGGTGTCTGTACGATTTAATGCTAATCTTTAATCGTAAACTGTTAGTGATTTCGCTCAAAATCTATTTTAATGAAGCAAGTGAATACATTCACTACGTTTCTTCAACATCCAAGTTTCATTACTATTATCCTTACTATCGTTCTTTGATACCATACTATTAGATAGTTGTAGTCAGTTCGTAGAAAAATTAATGAAACCCAGGATTTTTGCTAGTTGACACTTGTCAGTAAGGTATAACTGGAGTTTTGGAGAAAATCGATACTCCCTATGAAGCTAAAATTCACATTGTCTAATCTCACTATTTAAGATAATTCAATGTCCAATGTATTCAAATCATTTATCACAACTTCTGAGCTTAAAAATACAATTTATAACTAATTATTATTATTATTATTATTATTATTATTATTATTATTATTATTATTATTATTATTATTATTAATGGCTTTATTCAATATTATAATCTGGTACAATATAGAATTCTCAGCACGAGTTATTTCAACAAGTATTTTACCACAAAAAAAAACAAAAAAAAACAGAACAGAAATAAACTAAAAAAAAAGGTTTAAGAAAATCTGAGTTTATACAAATTATCGAACTTGAGACATGCTTAAGAATACAGGTTATTTACTAGGTCAACTCTAACAGCCTGTTCGTCACAAAGTAAATTTGCTAAGTAAGGTATTACAGAAATTTTATAGATTTGCTTGCGTGCATGGATTTTAATGTATTTACGTCTCGTTCTACCAGAAGATATACAAGGAGAAAGATATGAATGAAGCGGATGGTTAGTATCTGATAAGATAACACATGCCAAGAGTTTGCAAGACTTAAGATGTCTATCCACAAGCATATTAACAATGACTTCAAAAGATTCACCACATACCTTGCAAACTGCCTTCAGCATTCTACGCAAAATAGCGAAGTCTTTTCTCAAAAGCCCGGGAAAGAATAATGGAGAACAATATAGAATAATAGGTAATATGCAGGAATTTACAAATTGTAAGAGTAAATGGCGAGTAATCCCAAAAGCATGCAGCCTCTTTATGTAGTATGTCAAGCGGTAAACTTTTTTCGATAACAGTAAAACATGAGAAGACCAAGAAAGATCAGAGGAAAAAGTAACACCAAGATATTTGACCCTCGACACTGTGTTCATTAAGGAGTCTCCAATAGCACAAGCATTATGGGATCCCAACATAGAGTATAGGTTCTGTCCATGTCTCAAGCTAAAGTTACCAGCTTGACATTTAGATGGATTGAGTAAGAGACCATTACCAACAGACCACCTTTCAATACGAGATAAAAACTCATTCATTTCTATAGGATGTAAGGAGGTAGAAATTGGCATACATACAGTGAGGTCGTCCGCATATTTTACAAAAGTGTTTTCTGTGGAAGATGGCAGATCATGCAAAAAGAAAGAGAAGAGCAGAGGTGAAAGAACAGCTCCTTGTGCCACACCTACAGTAGACAGTAGAGATGTTGAACACTTTCCTTCAAATACAGTGTACTGTTCTCTTCCAGAAAGGTAGGAGCGTAGCCAATTGGTTATCCAGCTGTCAGTGTCGATGCGAATCAGCTTGTTAAGTAAGAGGTGTCTTGGAATAGAATCAAAAGCAGAAGTAAAGTCCAGAAAAGCGCATCTAACATACTTCTTACCCTTTTTCAACCCGAACACTATATTGTGATGCAGAACAGCAACGGCATCTAATGTGCTTCTTTTGCATTTGTAAGCAAACTGAAATGGATCACAGTGCTCTTTTATTAGAGGTTGAAGTGGTTGTATCAGTAATTTTTCCATTATTTTGAGGAAAGGTGAGGTTATTGCTATGGGTCTAAGTTTCGCATTTTTATCACCAGAAGCTTTCTTAGGTATAGGGATTACCTTTATCTTTCTCCACATTTTCGGTAAGACAATAGTTGAGAAGGATCTGTTAAAGATATTCGTTAATGGATAACATAAAACATCAGCACATTTTTTAAAAAGGAGGTTTGGGATACCATCAGGTCCTAAACATTGGGATGAATTCAGAGACTGGAGACATTTCCGGACATCATTTTCAGTGAAACTGGGGACACAATTATTCTTAAAACCCTTGGATATAGGGAGCATGATGTCAGATGACTGACGAATAAAGGACTTATTTAAGTCACAATCATTTAGCTGGTTATCGCTTCTAGTCTGCCTGTCCCCTGTAATTTCTTTAAAGAGTTTCCACATACTTGGAGAGCTTCTACAAGATAGGAGTTTTTGAGTGAACACAGAGTTGAGACGTCTAATCTCTTGGTTTATTTGATCATTCAACTTACGAACTTCAATAGTGTTTTTCTCCTTGTACATCCTTTCTTCTATCCTCCGTAGTCGTTTTAGTTGTGGAGATGTAAGTCGATCAAAACTTAAAAAGAAGGCTTCGGTAGGACAGCAAATATCAAAACAGAATTTAAGATAAGAGGTGATAACATCCGTTGTGTTTTCTATTGAGTCATCTGTAAGTACTTCCCAGTTGGTCGTACGAAACATGTTTTTCAGATTTTGTAAATTTTCTTCTGAGTAACTCCTATATATTACTTTTTTGGTATGGAGTGTGTGTACTCTTTCCATGTTTACCATATACTTTAGGTAGGACACGAATTATACAGTGATCCGAACTAGACAATGGACCACGTTTGCGAGTCACATATGTACCCACATCATTAATGAAAACCAAGTCTAGATGAGCATTCAAACGAGTAGGAAAATCTACTACATTTAGGTGACCTAGTGATGTTAGGAAGCTACAGTCACATGAATTGAAATCACCACATACAACTGAAAGTGAATCACTGAAAGCAGTAACGGCGAATTCAGTAAATTTATCAGTGAAGACAGATAGCGCAGATGATGTGCAGTCTGGAGTCATGTAGATGTTGGTAACATAAATATATTTGTATTTATTCAGGTGTTTTGGACGGCACCTTAAAGTTAGACAGTCAATAAAGTCGTTTGAAAACTTGAAACAGGCAAAAGTAGATCGACACCAGTTAACGTTTACAAAAGTAGCTACTCCGCCACCACAAGTCTTTTTATTGTTTGATCGATCCTGACGATAGATATTAAAATCATGTAATGACACTAAGCAATCATCCTGTAAGTCAGTTAACCAAGATTCTTGAATTGTGATGACACCACAATTACGATACATGTTTTGACTTAGCAGAAATTGGAGATAGTCCACCTTGTTAATTAGTGATCGACAGTTAGAGTTAAGTAGCTCGGGAATCGACATTTGACTGATGTTGATTCTCTTTAAAGCATATTTCCAACCACCACGATGTCTCTTATTGTGCTTGTTTGTAATTTTTGCAACGAAAGGACGTAAGCTTTTTATAAACGCGCCTGTGTAGGTTATGCGATTAAAAGACATAATGATAGGTTAAAACAAATTTAAAAAACCCAGATAACTTGTTGAAATATTTAGATGGCAGAAACAGGTAGCCCAGGTATTCAAGCAGGCATGGTTATCCATTTAGGATGCACATATAGCAAAAGAGACCGAAAAATTATCCTCCTGATTATCAATAACAGGACGATTTAAACAGTAATATTCTCATTATCCGTTTCAACAAGGAACTGAGTATTTGCATTCGTTAGCTTGGTGTACAATCCGTTGACGTTTAAAACAATAGTTACTAGATTCAAATGTCAATCTGAACATCAACACTGTGATATGAAAACATTCAGTAGAATATTAATGAATGAGATGAAGTGTTCTTTTTGGATTTTATCGCTATCCAAAATCCAGATATAATTACTATTGACTGATCAATATTCCAGTAGTTTAAATAAAAACACATTTATTA